GGATCCGCCGCCGCCCTCTCTGCGTGTTACTCGCGCCGGGGGCGAGGGAAGACGCGGCGGTGGGGGGGGGCTGCCCGCTGTTTGCCGGCCACTGTGAACTGCGCGTGTGTGTGTGGGGTGGGGGGGGGGATGTTACGCGTGCGTGCCGGCGGCGGCGCAGCGTAGTTGCCTGGGGCACACACGCACACACGCACGCGCCGCAGGAAAAAGAGCGAAGGGAAAAAACGAGAGGAAAACAACAAACGAAACAAAACAAAACAAAAAAAAGGAGGGCGCTAACGGTGCCCGGTAGAGGCACGCACAGGGAAGAGGAGGCACCGCAAGTGGCGGGATTTGCACGCGGCCCCCTCCGCTCCCCGCCTTTTCGCACGGCTGTCTGTCCTGTTTGCGCGTGTGTGGGCTGCGGAGACAACGCCAGCGAGCGAGTGGAGGGAGAAACATTTAGCCGATGTCTTTTGCACCCGTCTCCCACCTTCCCTCGCTTCTTCTTTCTTATTTATTTTTTTTCTGTGTGTCTCTCTCACTCTCGCTCTATCTATCTCTTTTTGCGACGCACGCTCCCCCGCTCTCTCTGTTAGACTTGCTTGTGTATGTATTCTCGTGAGTGCGGGCGCAATGTTCTTACCTATGTATGTCGCCGCTGCTGTCGCTGGCTTTCTTTATTTGTGTGTTACCGGCGTAGCCCTCTCTGAGTCTGTGCGTGTCTGTGTGTGTGCGTGTGCTTGTTTTTTTTTCTTCTATTGTTGCTGTTGTTTCCTCCGCCGTTTCCCCCCCCCCACCCACCCCCCCATCCATACGGTCTCTGAGTCACGGTCTCCCTCCGAAACATTGCGGCGTGCGGCGCACCCACGCATGGCGGCAGCGGCGGCGGCGGCCACGATTCTCAGCAGCTCTGCGTCGCCGCCTGTGGGAATGGGATGTTTAGCGGACTTGCGAGCGCGAGGGCTGCGCGTGCGAAATGAAGAGCAGAAGTGAGCAAACGATGGAGCGTGCAAGATGCAGCATGCACACACACACACACATACACATACACAGAGAGAGAGATCGTCCATGCGATGACTTCGGCTTCCACACGGGCGCGGGGCGGCGGGCCACCCACACGAAGGCCCCTCCCTCCCACTTGTCGTCATTATTATTATTTCTTCTTCTTCGCTCGCGTCCGCACCGCTGCAGCGGCTGTGTCTTTTTTTTTTGTGGTTTCCCTTTTTCTACTTCTTCTCTTCGTCGTTGTTGTTTTTTTTTAGTCTCTTGCGGTTGTTCGCTGGCGCCTCGGCCGCTCCGCGCTCGCCCCAACTTTTGTGTGTGTGTGTGTGGCTCCCTCTCCCTCGTCCGCTTTGCTTTTTTTTTCTTGCTTCTTTGTTTGCCGGCACGCCGCGTGGGGCGGGGGAAGAGGCCGGGACGAGAGGCCCACGCTGGGCGGGGGCGCGTGAAGCAGCTGCGGGAAGGGGAAAAGAGAAGAAGTCATCCCAGACGAACGCCGTGGGGAGGTCCCAGCCGCTCACTTCCTCCATTTCTCTCTATTCCTCTCTCTC